CATATTTTGATATTGATATTTAGGGTTTGTGATTTTTATTGTCACATGAAGTGGATTTTTCTCAACAAAGTGGTATCAGAGCCATGTTTGTTGGTTGTTGTTGGAAAAATCCCACTTCCTGTGACAATAAAAATTACAAACCCGACAGGGGAGCAATGGTTTGTTTTTCTATCGCAGGGACGGCGATATCTTCCACATAGTAAATCACAACCTGGCTCTGATACCATTTTGTTGGGAAAAACAACCTGGCTCTGATACCACTTTGTTGAGAAAAATTCCACTTCCTATGATAATAATTTATCTTCTGTAAGCTGAGTAACTTCTATAGGTTGAGTATCTTCCGTAGTCTGATGAGTACCTTCCAATTCTTCGTCGGTATCAGGACTGTCTATATAGTATTCTTGTTGTGTACCTTTCGGTTCTTCGTCAGAATGAGCATCAGTCACATATAATTCTCCCTGCTCCGAAAATTAAACACATGAAGCAGCATGTGAAATAAGAAATTCTGATCTAACTAAACTTGATGTTATTAATCAATACAATCCTGATTCCCGACATTTTTGCAATCAACATCATTGTACGCAACATTCAAACAAAACGTACTCACTTCTCCTCTAATCAAACGAACAAATTTTTTTTGCTAAAATCACTTCCAAAACTACATACTCCGCTACTCTCAATGAGTACCGCAATTAAAAGCAATAACAACTAGAAAAACAAACTAAATTGATTTGTACAGATGCTATGAAGAAATATATTGTAGTGATGAAGAAAGATGAAGTAATATACCGTAGCAAAATGTAAATAAGACAGATATTTTGGGAAAGAGGGAGTATTACATCCATTATGAAGATTATCAGGAGCTGATGTGCCGGAAGAAGCTTAAGTGCGAAAGGAGCTGATGTGCCGAAAGAAGCTTATGTGCGAGAGTAATGGTGGAGGGAAGGAAAATGAAAGTAGAAGAATGAATGATATTCTGTTACCGCAGAGATCAGCCAAATATATATACAAGCCTATGGCGAGAAAGGAAGTTGTAATATAAAAGATATTTACATCCTTCAACCTGTAGCTTCTTCACGGGTACCCTTCTCCAATACCCAGGACCCATGCTTGGAGGGGACCTACCCTACTTCACCTCATCTAGTATAAACATATTGTATAAGTAAATAAAATGCATACATTTTATAGAAGGATGAAGTGGCTTAATTGGTAAGATATATATGCTTAATATATGCTATAACAAAGGTTATAGTGTCGACACTTAATTGCTGCAGTTGGAAAATCTAAATTGTGTAATTATCGTGGTAATTCACCCATTTTTAAGTTTATTATGTGAAAATTTTTCATTTGATTTTAATTTTGTAAGTTACATCAGCTTGAAAGCTTTCATAGCTAAATGGTCGCCTTTTGTACTTTTAAATTATTATTATTATTATTATTATTATTATTATTATTATTATTATTATTATTATTATTATATAATATGAAAAGTGAGACTGATTTTTAAAATGAAAGAGTATCTCAAGAACAAAGATAGCTTAATTCATTTTTTCTATTAGACGGTTTAGGTCGAATGAAAATAATTAACCGCATTTGGCAAATTAAAACATTTCTTAAAAGAATTAATTTCACTTTTGGTCCCACGACTTTTGATGTTCTATCACTTTTGGTGCACAACTTTAAAATTTTTTAATTTTGGTGCCTAACTTTGTTATTTTTATCAGTTTTGGTCCTTTTGGCTAAATTGACAGCGAAATGTTGCTGGATTTTATATGTTGCTGGGTAAAATTGTCATCCCAAGGAAACATCTTCAATATCAAAACAAAATCACTGTAAAATCATATCTATAGGTGTTTGATCGATGAGAATAATGGTGAAGACGGGCAGAAACTAGACAGATCTATGGGATTTATAATTTCGACCATTGGCAAACTCTTCTTTTCCTCTTAATATGATTTTTCTTTTGTTTAAATATTGAAGATCTTTCCATGGAATGGCGATTTTGCCCCTAAAATATAAAATTCAAAAATATTTTACCGCCAATTTGGGTGGAAGGACCAAAACTGATAAAAATAACAAAGTTAGGCACCAAAATTAAAAAAATTTAAAATTGTGCACCAAAAGTGATAAGAACTCAAAAGTCGTGGGACCAAAAGTGAAATTAATTCTTTCTTAAAACCCCCATGTTCAAATTATTTTTAAAAAATAATACTTTTCTGGACACTCCATCCAATTTTTTTTCTTTTCCTTTTTATTTTATTTTAATTTATTAGTTAATAATAAATTATTATTTATCAAAATAGTTAAATAAAAATCATATAAATAACACACATCGTTTGACGATATGATATTGGTATATTATAAATGAGAATAAATGTATATGATTAATTTGTTAAAAATATATATTTTAAATAAAAATAATTTATTAATGTAAAAAAAAAAATTAGTACTTATATATTTTGTACAAATATTCTTATTGATTAGTCACTTATATTCTAATCTCACCATCACTTATGTTTTTATAAACAAACATGTTTTTCATAACTATTACCACTCCAATTTAACTGTTCCCACACAATGAAAATGTCATATTCATACTTGCTAATTAGATACATCAAGAAGTATAATTAAAAGAGTATAATTTTGGAGTTTTCATAGTAAAACTCGTAAAAGAAAATAAATATGATTATTTATGATAAAAGGTCACTAAGTCACTATAATTTACCAGTATAGTATTCTGCGAGACCCGAAATGTGACGCAATTGAAGTGATGAATTGTGCCTTTAATTTTGTGGACAATTTAAGCAAGCCAAAGTAGATTTTTTTTTTTTTTTTGAAAGCCAACCAATAAATGATTGTATTAATGAATCAAATCTGCAATCGAGTCTGGAGTGATAGAATCCCAATACATAATGTGATCCTGAGAGAAAGTTAATGAAGCTAAAGTATGAGCATGCGAATTAACCTGCCTAGCAACATAATTTAAAAACAATAATTAAAAGACGCCATGAGCGTTCTACATTGGTCCACAATGACCCCAACATAGGACATTAAACCCATCGAGAGATGACGTAAAGTATTTCAAAGTTGCATGCAATCTGTTAAAATATTCACCGTAGTCATATTTTCCTCCAGCAGCCAGGATAAGGCCTCCGCCATGAACGGAGACATACAATGTGATAGCTTTCCATTTCGAGCCGCTAAGAACGCTCCATCCGGCAAACAAAGTACCATAGCAAAAGTAGCCTCTCCCGTTGCTTGTTTGAACCCTGAGTCTATGTAACACCTTGGGCCACCGTGGTCGTGATCCGGAGCAAGCCAAAGTAGTTAATTAACTCACATTGTGAGTAATGCCACAACTCATAAAGTATCACACGGCTCATAGACTGACGTTTTCCGTGACAAAAAACAATAAAAATACTGAACCATACTACCGGAGCGTCAGTCGTTTCGATCTCCCACCGATCCTTACGCGTCTATGCATGCCTTCACAGCTTTTGCTAGCTGGAGTAGCTGCATATATGCTATATATACAGCAATAAACCAGATGAAAAGAAACGGAAAATAAGAAAGTAACAAGTCATACACAAACAAATCCATTCAACAATATAATGTCACTCCCATGTTCTAAATTAAACAAAAATGCTATACCACTAAGTTGCTCCAACTAGCTCTACTCATTATTAAATATATTCCGTGTACTAAACTGCTAGCCTTATATGTATAAGTAAGCACATATAATTAAGACTTTAATTTTACTATTTGATTGCCAATTACTTGATTTAGAATATATGATCTATAGGCCAGTATGCTATCATTGACACTCGTCTTCAAACACGTATCACCCTGAACAAGTCACTAGCTAGTATAAAAATGAATAATGGAAACTGATTTTTTATAACTGTTCTAAAAAAAATGTTAGTGTATTCTTTAAAAACCTCACGGTAAAAAAATTATAAATATTTGAACAAAAATCTGAAACTATTTAGAGTAAATACCTAAAATGATCCCTCGACTATAACTAAATTCACAAATTGGTCCTTAACTTTCAATTTCAACCAATTAAGTCATTAACTTTGTAATTTTGACACAATTTGGTCCTCCATCTATTTGACCGTTTGTTGACCGTGATCGACGATCTCCAGAAGAACCTTTAGCTCTCGTCAGAGCACGTGGAGGCCTCCAGGATGACATTGCACCGGTTCGGAAGCACGTCGTCTTCTTCGCTCTGGTACGAACTCAACTACATTGAATCCAAAGGGAGGATGAAGAAAGGTGACCGGATTTGGTAGATTGCTTTCGGCAGTGAATTTGAATGTAACAGTGCGGTCTGAAAATGCAACCGGAACCTTAAAAAACCAACTATGGATCATGAAAGTACATATATATCCTCAAAAATCATAGTCAACAAACGGTCAAATAGACAGATGACTAAATTGTGTTAAAATTACAAAGTTAAGAACCTAATTGATTGAAATTGAAAGTCAAGGACTAATTTGTAAATTTAGTTATAGTCGATGGATCATTTTGAATATTTACTCAACTATTTATAAGTAAAACAGTCGTAATTTAAAAAAAAAAAAAAAATACTGGGTAATTTTCGCTACCGTTCCACTTATAACAATCAATGATGATGACTTAAACAAATATAAAGTTGGACTTCATATACAGACACGTACTACTACCAGAATTGCATTTTGCTTAATTGGGAAGAAAATACTAATCATTGTCTTTAAAAAAAAAATGGTGTTGAATTGGTGGCATTCGCATTTTATTTACTTTTGTGTTGAGAGAGAGAGAAAAGAACCACAAAACTCGCACACAGAAAGAAGAAAACGACACGCAAATGATAGAGACAGACAGTCGTGTTGGACTGCATATATATATATATATATATATATATATATATATATATATATATATATATATATATATATATATATATATATATATGTCTGCGTACTTAGCTTCCAACTCGACATGCTTTTTGCTTCTTCAAAATGTCTGCCAAGAAGAAGTTGATCACAATCGCCACCGTTTTTCTCCTTTCCTTCGTGACCGGGAAACCGAGTCAGGATAGCCTCGCCTCCATCTCCGCCGTGAAACCCGAAGGCGCCCCGGAGATCGACCCGAGAACGTTGAAGAGAAAAGCCACGGTGATACCTTCACGGTCTCCCTCGCCACCGCCGCCTTTCCCAATCTACGAAGCAATGGCGTCCGAGCCAGCTACGGAATTTGACGGCGAGAGCCAGGTGAAGGACTTCGTGCAAACCCTCCTCCACTTCGGCGGCTACAACGAAATGGCCGATATTCTCGTGAACCTAACAAACTTAGCCGCGGAAATAGGGAAGCTCGTGAACGCAGGCTATGCACTCACGGTTTTAGCCCCCAACGATGAAGCCATGGCGAAGCTCACGGCGGAGCAGCTAAGCGATCCGGGAGCGCCGGAGCAGATAATATACTACCACGTCGTGCCGGAGTACCAGACGGAGGAGAGCATGTACAATGCCGTTCGGAGATTCGGCAAGGTGAAGTACGAAACGCTGCGCTTGCCGCACAAGATTGTTGCTCGGGAATCGGACGGGTCAGTGAAACTCGGGGACGGTGAGAATTCGGCCTACTTGTTGGACCCGGATATTTACACCGACGGCCGTATCTCAGTTCAGGGGATCGACGGAGTCCTGTTCCCGGAGAAGAAGAAGACGACGAAGAAATAAATGTATTTATTAAAAGTTTCATAATATATACTTATTACCGTTAATGAAAATTTTACTGTATTATAGTATATACAATTATATATATTAATTTTTGTTGTACTTCCTATTGTATATAAATTAGTGACATTGTAAAAAATATATATATTATACTATGATTTGATGCCGATATTGAAGAAGGAAACCTTTAAACCAATGGACTTTATCATCCATTGTATTACACCTTTTTGGTATTGTGGGTGGAATCCATTTTAGACATATAGGGGTTGGTTAAGCTTTCTATTATTTATCATAACTAAAAGTCTAAAAATAATCATTTTAATGTATATATACACTTGTTTTCTTCTCCTGACATGCATAAAACAATGTTCTGTATATTTTAATTTACAAGGAACCCTAACAATGTTCGGTATATTATATACTAGTTTCACATGTGCATTGCGTGATTAATTTAATTAATGTTCTATGTTTGTATATAAATAAATAATTTAAAGTATGTCAATGCAAAATATCAATGGAGTGAATATTTCATTTATTTAGAGACCAATAATGGCGTCTCTTCTAATGGTAATGCAATCGGGTTACTGATGCTAGTTTGCAAAAAAGAACATATGTTGCCTAAAGAACATATTTTGTCTAATTAATTTTGTTACATTAAATTGATTATATATATATATATATATATATATATATATATATATAAGTGACTGCGTCATTTTTTAGTAATTGATCTTATTAGAATAATTAATAAAAACTAATAAAAATAAAATAATTATAAGTATTCATTTCATCAAATAATTGGACGGATATTTTTTAATTCCCGTTATAAGCATAACTTGATTGGTTTTTTTTTTTTTTTTTTTTTTTTTTTTTTTTTTTTTTAACTTGATTGGTTCTTATTATATTAGTAGATAGATATAACACAAGGTATAAGTGTACTATTTTTTTTTTTTTTAGTATTATAATATTGGTTTATGTATACTCAAATCATTTTCTCAAGTATACAACAATAACTAAATTTAAAAGAGTAAATTATAATTTTTTGTCTTAGATTTATACATGTCAGTCCATTTTTAATCATTTTTATCAGAACATTGACATTTTGTCTTAATATTATTGTGACATAATCATTTCTGATCATCCGTCAACAAAATTACTAAAATATCGATAAATACAAAGACATTTTAATTTTAATTTTGTATGCTATGAAAATAAATAATTAACCAAATATATCGAATTGAAACTATATTATAAATTTAATGTAACCGAAGGAATTAAAAAAAAAAAACCATTAGTGGGCCAACACAATCATCTAGGTTGGGCTGCACATAGTTATTGTGTACAGGTCGACTAGGTTCAACCCACTATTGTACATGGATTGGGATAGCCCAATTCATGAAACTAGTGAGGGGTTATCCTTTTCAAATTAGAATGACTCAATTTTCAAATAAATAAAGTCAAATATTAAATAATTAAATTTCAAATAATAATATTTTTTATAAAATCTTTCAATAAAAAATGTTAATAATCATTTTGTAAAAAAAAAAAATACAATTACAAAATTCCAACACTTCTTTTTTTTTTTTTTTTTTTTTCACCATTCCAATCCCCAATAGGGTGTGGACCAAAGATCCCCGTTGGGGTTGGCTGAAACTAACATTACTAGACCAATCCAACAACTCATTAAAATTTATTAATTTTAAAATTTAGAAAGTAACAAAATGGATTAATAACATATAAACTTTTTTTTTTGTTTAATTTTAAAAATATTCAATAACAGGCTAATAGTTTTTATATTTTTTGTTGGAAATATATGAAAAAGACAAAATTTATTGTTTTAGTGGCAAAATGCTGAATTTTATTTATTTTATATGTTGTATTAAATTGAGAAGTTGAGTGAGAATTTGGATATATTCTATGGAGCAGCCAGCAGTCCACCACCATCTCCCATTCCACCAACATGCACGTTGGGTACAAGAAATTATTCTTCCCAGAGTGTCCTGGGGCTGGGAGGTAGGTTTGAAAATAAATGTTAGGTTTTGGTTGTCCAAATTGGGTATTTCTTATTTTATTTTATTATTTATTTAACACAAACCGAAGGTTGACGTAGCATAATACATTAGTTTTGCTTGTCACCTTGTGGCCACTACTTCACATTCGTATATATTAAAAAAAAAACTCAAAAAAGTAATTAATTGATGGAAACATAACTTTAGATCAGAAGGTTACATGTTCAATTATACTTAATATAATTTCAATTGAGATCGTCACACATAAGATTTGCTCAGTGTGGTTTACTTTAATTGTGTAGTTTATAAAAAAAAAAAAAAAAAAAAAAAAGACACAACAGTGCAACACATCATCATTAACCGCTTAGGTTTTGAGAGAGAAAGTTGATTTTTGTAACCTTAATAATTCAATTAGAATTCATTGTGTGCATGTGAGAGAACCTATATGCTATACAATTCAACATTTATTTAAAAGGGTTTTGTATATATATTGGTGCAAATTTCATTGTATTTCCAATGTGAGATAAAGATTACTAAGCCTTTTTACCTTCATTTTCTAATTCAAAATGGTATACTTTGAAAATCAAATTTTTGTTTACCCATTATCCATTTTGAGCATAAAATATATCAATATCTTCATTTCATTACGAAAAACACAAATCCACTTACCTAACTCAAATCGAAAAGTTGACCCTACATATATTAGTACCACAAAATAGCACCTACAATATCATTTATGCTATTTTTTCATATTGGTGTTTGCACTTGCAATGAAAACATATGGGTAGTGTTACACCCATTTATGATTTTTCTCTCAAAATACCTTAACAATTCAATTCAAAATTTTTTTTAGGATAATAATTTAATTCAATTCATAATACCTTTCGGGGAAAAAATTACACATATTCATTTTTTTTTATGGTTATATATAATATAAACTTGTCTCAAAATGCAAGTTATTAATAGAACAATAAATGTTAAATTTATGGCACTTTTTGACACAATAAATGTCAAATTTAAAGAGGTCAACACATTTTTATGGCAAAATGACAAATTTTTTCTCAATTGTATGTGAAATATATATATATTTTTTAAATTCGACCTACAATAAAATTCTTAGTAGTAATTCTCATTAACCGGCCTTGAGAAATTGGTAACTAGACCTTGACTCCCAGATGAGAAACCTGGCCGGCTGGCCGAACAAGAAACTCCAATTACTCCACTGAGACATATTTATCTGTTTGGTACATCCAACCAATGCGCGTTTTCTTCGTGACTCTGTCTAATGTAAGAAACAACATAGGTTTTCACTAAAATAATAGAAACCCACCATCAAAGGTTAGACCAATTCTCTCTTTATTATTCAAGATCTCAACTTTTTCTTCTTTGTATTGGAGTTTTTGGCTCCGGCTTTATAAGCAGAGGATTTTATTTTATGAGCTTTTTCTTGCCTATCTGTTGTCACCCAGAGTTTTCCCTTTCTTTCTCTCTGCTGAGTATATCTTGATTTCTTCGTTTTCATGTATATATGGACTGTTTGCAATCTGTGTTTTCTCGTGCAATTTTACTGTGTACATTGATTTTGATACTGTGACCAATTGATGAATATTTCTTGGCAGCTATGGAGTTGAGCAATTGAGCTAGAGATGATTTGACTTTTTAATTTCTGGTTTTGATTGTTTCTGGTAAAGCTAAGATCTTGTTGCCTTTCTAGCTGAGAGGTTTATGAGGAAATAGCAGTAGAGATTTAGTACTAGAATTCATTTTGTAGGGTACTGGGATTAATTTTGAGGAGTGAGTTTAGGGTTCAATGGGGAATACTTGTGTTGGGCCGAGCATTTCGAAAAATGGAATATTTCAATCGGTTTCAGCTGCAATGTGGCGAACCCGATCACCGGATGACACTGGTTCTGTCACTAATGTAGAGAGTGTCAGAGGTGAATCACAACAAGGTTCTAATAAATCGCCCGAATCACCAATGGAGGTCCAAAATAAGCCGCCTGAGCAGATGTCAATGCCTAGGCCGGAGGCCGAGGAAAAGCAGCCGGCTAAGCCTAAGAAACCCGCACATATAAAGAGGGTGCCTAGCGCAGGGCTTAGGACTGATTCGGTTTTACCAAAGAAAACGGGCAACTTGAAGGAGTTTTTCAGTATAGGCAAGAAATTAGGTCAAGGGCAGTTCGGGACTACGTTTCTTTGCGTGGAGAAAGCAAGCGGGAAGGAATACGCGTGCAAATCGATTGCCAAGAGGAAGCTGTTGACCGATGACGATGTTGAGGACGTTAGGCGTGAGATTCAGATAATGCACCACTTGGCTGGGCACCCGAATGTTATTTCGATAAAAGGGGCTTATGAGGACGCTATCGCCGTTCATGTTGTTATGGAGTTTTGCGCCGGGGGCGAGCTTTTCGATAGGATTATTCAGCGGGGACATTATACAGAAAGGAAAGCTGCTGAGCTTACAAGGACAATTGTCGGAGTTGTAGAAACTTGTCATTCATTAGGGGTGATGCACCGTGACCTTAAGCCCGAGAATTTTCTCTTTGTCAACAAGAAAGAGGATTCCCTACTCAAAACAATTGACTTTGGATTGTCAATATTCTTCAAGCCAGGTATACCCTTTTTACCTAAGGATAAACATCGACCAAAGTAGCCCAGAAATTAAAGTAATTATATTGGTTCATTTATATACTTTGAAGTTTGGCTTAAAGTGTTTTACATTTAAAAAATAATGATTTCCTTTTTCAGGGGAAAAATTTACTGACGTTGTTGGCAGTCCCTACTATGTTGCACCAGAAATTCTCCGAAAGCACTATGGTCCTGAAGCCGATGTCTGGAGTGCTGGCGTGATAGTTTACATTTTACTAAGTGGAGTCCCTCCTTTTTGGGCGGGTTAGCGTCTTTTTTGTTATCAAAATACCTAGCAATCGTGTCTCTCTTCCATATTATAGCAAAATATAACTCGAATTCATTTATAATTTACATAGAAAATGAGCAAGGAATATTTGAGCAAGTCTTGCATGGTGATCTTGACTTCACTTCGGACCCATGGCCTAGTATTTCAGAAGGTGCTAAAGACTTGGTGAGGAGAATGCTTATACGAGACCCCAAAAAGCGTTTGACAGCACATGAAGTGCTATGTAAGTAGCTTTCTTCAAATTGTTATTAATCAGTGAATCTTGACGAGTCATAGGCAATTGGCTTGATATTGGGGTAGATTTGATACACACACACACTATACATATACACATACATATGTGATGGGTACCCAGTCGGGGCCACCTGCCAGGCAGTTGGGCGGCCTGTTGGGCCGTGCCAAGCTGGCAGCTGAGGCGGGGGATGTCCAAAGGAATATTCAAGGAATCTTTGCCAAATGTCAACCGATTTTCCCTTTTCAGATTTAGAAAGGAGATTTTGCAGTTTAAGAAACAAATCTAAATCTGGTTTATGAAGGTTTCTTAATCGAAGTTTGTAAATATTTTACTTCCTTTTCTTTAATCAATCACCTATGTATAAAAACCCCCTAGGGGTCAAAGGGATTCGATTTTTACTTTCTGACAATAACATGGTCTTGTGCTATTTCTTGCATTATTCACGGTTGTGTTGGCCTGCCGACCGGTTACCCCGTGCCATAAAACCAACAATATGGCAAACTATTGTGTGGACCGTGGTCCACATAACTGTGTAGACCACGGTCCAAAATGACGTCGTTGAATTTTATGAGTTAGAATAATGAACATTATGAGTTAGAATAATGTACATTATGAGTTAGAACAATATACATTATGTATTAGAATGATGTACTTTATGTGTAAAAATAATGTACATTATGTGTTCGAATAATGAAACTTCTAGGGTAAGATAATGTACTCCATGAGTTAAAATAATGTACAATATGCTTTAGAATAATGTACATTATGAGTTATAAAAATGTATGTTGCAGTGAGTCGCGTGAAAAAAAAAAATACGCGAAACGACGTCATTTTTGAACCGTGGTCCACGCAATAACTATTGCTACAATATGTATACACGTATAAGTGGTTAGTACCTAGATCGAATTGGTCCAAGATCGAATCCTATTCTTTCTCAGATTGTTTATGAGAGGTGTTTTAAATAATTTGCAGGTCATCCTTGGGTTCAAGTTGGTGGCGTGGCTCCTGACAAGCCTCTGGACTCTGCAGTTTTGAGTCGAATGAAGCAATTCTCTGCGATGAATAAGCTCAAGAAAATGGCTTTAAGAGTACGTATTATTAGTATAGTATAAGCGCACTTCTCTAATTTCTCTAAGCGTTACACCATTAGGCCTTTTAGGTGCAAACTTTAATCTGGAAGATGGACTCATACAGCTAAATTGACCGAATGTATGTTCGTTTCTTCCAGGTCATTGCAGAGAACCTATCCGAAGAAGAAATTGCTGGGTTGAAAGAAATGTTCAAGATGATAGATGCAGACAACAGCGGGCAAATCACTTTCGAGGAGCTCAAAGCTGGATTGAAAAGAGTTGGTGCCAATCTCAAGGAGTCCGAGATCTATGACCTAATGCAAGCTGTAAGTACCATCGTTTCGATTCTTGTATCTGCTCTAAACAAATCCTTACGGTTTTTTGTTTCGTGCACTTTGATGCTATTCTCTAAACAAATCCTCTGCACTTTCTGATGTTTCAGGCTGATGTTGATAACAGTGGAACAATCGATTATGGCGAGTTTATAGCTGCAACGTTACATTTTAACAAAATTGAGAGAGAGGATCATCTGTTTGCCGCTTTCTCCTATTTTGACAAGGATGGAAGTGGCTTTATCACTGCAGACGAACTGCAACAAGCCTGCGAGGAATTTGGGATTGAAGATGCCCGCCTGGAAGAAATGATTCGGGAAGCTGACCAAAATAACGTAAGTCATTCAATATAATAACTATATATATATATATATGTAACATTTGCATGATTTTCCATTATCTCGCTTGGTCATTGTTACCATGGTTTCAATTTATGTTTCAGGATGGAACCATTGATTACAATGAATTCGTGGCGATGATGCAAAAAGGAAATCCAGTATTGGGCGGTCTCTCGAAAGGCCAAGAAAATAGTAGTTTCAGCATTCGATTTAGGGAGGCCCTAAGAACCTAGACTTCCCTTATTTGTTCTTCACTGTTTTTTTTGTTCTTTTTGTATGACAAATTTGTTGTGATAGGGTCCTTTTTATAGTGATTTGGAGAAAACAGCCATCTTTTATTGCACTTTTATAGTTTTCACAATCTCTTTTCCCTGTCTGCATCTGGCTTTGTCAATTGTCATCTTGTACACTTGTATGCCTCATGACCCCAAGGAATTGTGATGATACATTCTCCCCCAGATATTTACTTCCTTACATGGTAATATAATTGGGTATGTATGTATTTAAATAATAAGTAGATTTTTTTTTTTTTTTTTTTTGTGTGTGACGATGAAAATTCACAAATGTTACTCGAAAGTATGTACTAAATAAACTTGTTTATGTGTAACAGTGCATTAACCACACAATATGTACGAAAATCATGGTTCATTCACTTACTTCTTTTAGTGGTATAATAAGCAAGCAGGTTGAATTCCCAGCCCTAAGGACCCCACACTCCGGTCCGATAGAGCATTTGGGAGTATGTAAATCACGGTGACTTAATGGTTCAGCAGACAGGGCCAAATGCCGGTGCGCATAAGGAATCTGTCCACTTTGGACATAATTTCTACACTGCCGCAGCTGAAGTCGGTTTGAACCTTGTCTCTTCTCCCAAATACTGCCCACTAAACCATTAAGCTAAACCCCGTGCGGGCTTCATAATTACTTTCTCAAAGTATTGAAGGACCGCGCCCATCATAAATCGAACCCAATAAAAGAGTCACTTCGTGTTACTAGACCATAAAGTTATTGGCAGATAATAAATATTATTATTACATTAATTAACCTCTAATCCGAAAATTACCGTGTAGCCCCGCCCGTTTCCTGGCCGCCAGATGTTTAATCACAACGTTCAAAAAACGAGGGGAAGCCCTTAAACACATGTTTTCAGTATTTCGCACATTTTATCTTTCTATGAACGCTTTCACAATTTTCAATTAATTTTCTAATCTAAAGCTAAAAAAAATCAACAGTAGGTATTCGCGTAAAACCCTAATTGCTCCCCTTCTCTCTCTTTCTCTTTCTCTTTCTCTTTCCCCCCCAATTAGTATTCGGTGCCGCGTGAGCTGTCTCTCTCTGTATCTACCACCTCCAATAATGGCGACGGCTGGCGAAGACACGACGGCTAACGCGCCTTCGGCGGCCTACGAGGGCGGAGGAGCGGGAGGGAAGTTTCGGAAGAGGCCGTTCCGGAGGGCGCAGGCCACGCCTTACGATCGCCCTCCCACCGCCCTCCGAAACCCTAGCTGGCTCTCCAAGCTCGTCGTGGACCCTGCCTCCAAGCTTATTAATGCCGGCGCTCGACGATTATTCGCTTCATTCTTCACCAAGACCCTACCTCCTCCTCCTTCTCATCCTCCACTCCCTGCTATCCCTGCTCCACCACCTTCAGGTATTTTCTTCTTCCCTCTCTTTATTCCCGTCGTTGTCTGTTCATGTATTCACACTCATTCCTCTCTCTATATATATGCATGTGTCACTGTATGAGCGAGGGACCTGTTTGTTGTTTGTTGTTTGCCGATTGTTATGGAAAAGGAGCTGTCTTCATTGCCATTTCCTCCCCTATTATACTGTAAATGCCAATATGTGTATAATTGAGTGCAAAGGGTTGCAATTGAGTTCGGGAGTTCTTTATTGTTTTTGCTATGTGTTCAGTTGGCATGGATTCAGTTAAAATGTCTTTCTTTTATGGTTAAGGTATCTGGAGTTATCATTTTGATTTGAGGATGACCTTAATTTCATGGTTGACTGGATATGACATGAAGTTGGTGCTTCAATGAGCAATTTTATCTATATTTATTTTCTTTGTCTTCCTTTCTCCATGGTTTATTAATCTAAGTGGTTTGGACAAGGGTTAGATGTGAAGTCTTATTTGAAAAACATGATTTATGCTGAATGCAATATGTTCATTGATTGAGGTTATACCATATCAACATTTTTATAGAAAAATATAAATTTTCTGTGGAATTATGTGTGTTTATATTTTGCAATAACATTTTCCAGCTGTTAGAGAATTGTTTCTTGTTTCTTCTCCCTTAGTTCACTGCTTCTCTTCTATTTGTTCTATCACTTAATAACATTTCGGAGGGGTAGATAATTGTTTTCCATTCTTACTTCCCTCCTTTGACAGCCACTGCTTTTTTGTTTCCAATTGGATGGTCTATCTGTGAAGTGTGAGTGCATAGGTTTCAATCCCCTTCCACCTAGTTTTAGCCAATTAGTTAGTGCAAATACATGAAAATATGCCTTTCATTCTAGTGTTATATGTGAATTGGATTTCTTGGGGGTTAGTGTTAGATGTCAAAGGTACAAGTCTTGGTGCTTTAAAATTGGTGGGTACAGGGAACATCCACTAGTTTTTTCCTTTTCAATATATATAAAAACATTTAGAAATGAGTTACATTCAGAAATGAATCTGCATTTGGTAGTAACTCAAATATCCAAATCCATGGCTCTCTGGTCTTTTATTATTTATCTGAAGTGATTCTTCATCAATTTATAACTAGGATGGAATGCTAGTATTGTACACAAATAAGGGCTTTTCAGATTCTAGCCATGTCTGGTCTGTCTGCTTGGTAAATTCACTTTTGCTTATTATCATTTTTCTTGTTATGCAATAATGTTCAACAAATGAAGTGAAAGGTCACCCAGACAATCAAGGCGCCCATACTTCAATTTCTGGATGAGAAATCCATTCTAGCGTCAATGTCTATAGCTACTTGGTTATTTGTTTTTTGAATATTCTTTTCCTTTCCTTCTTTTTTTTTTTTTTTTAATAACTTAGCACTTGTGAATTTTGTAGAATTGGTGTTTTTATGTTTTTAATGTTATGATGATGGTAATTTTGTAGTAATGTTGTGGTTCACTCTGTCATTGCTAAGTTTCCTAATAAATTCGGATTCTGAATTTTCTTTTCAGAATAGTTATCTTGGCATAGAAGTGACTTTCTTTCCAGCATCTAGAAACCTTAAATTTTAAGATCTCTTTCTCTCTGTTTTTAGTGCAGTATTTTCCTTGAAATTTAAGTTCACATTGTTAATTAAGTCCTGATTAAATGAAAACATTGTTGATCATATGTGTCTGGTGCGATGGACAACTGTTTGGATGGTTTTGTGTACTGTTCTAGATGCTAGGAATTGTGACTGCTCTTAGTTGTGAGATGCTGTTATTGATGTTATCTGAAACTAAGGAAAAATGTCGTAATATCTTTCCTCCAGTGGATGTCTACTGTTTTCATCTGTGTCATTTTCCATTATGTTTATAGTTGGGCCTGATATGTGTTTTGATGTGAACAGAGACAACACAAGATCCAAAGGATGTGCATAAGGCATCAGGTCCAAATGTGAGTGTCATTGCATATAACTTGTCTTTTAAAGCATAATGATTGTGGGTCTTTTGTTTTGTTTTGTTTTGTTTTGTTTTGTTTTAATTTTAAATTTTATTGTATCATGTGAAATTTCTTGGAATCATAAGCTCTCTCCACTTTACTTGCTTCTTGCTGTTACTTATTTGTCTCTGAAAATTCTGTTGGTCTTTTCTTTGTGGGTTGTATATTTTACTATTATATACAGAGTTGTAATTCGTAGCGCTTGGTTGATTGTTTCTTTTTATGCATCATTGGGGAAAAGGTAATTCCCTTATTTACAAAAACATATATTACTTGCTTTACTAGTCTTTATTATTATTATTCTTCTTCAACTTCTAAGCTAGTAATGAAATGAATGAGCACTAGCTATCTTTGGTGTAAAGTACAATAACAGGGTTATTCAAAATTTCTGTAATTTAGTAGTAGTGTGCAATTTGTCTTGGTCTATTAGAGTATTAGCAGTTGAGCATTAGTTTCTCATTATTTCTAATAAACTTCTCGATTATTTTATGGTAACTGCAAACTCCTATGTTGCCTGTACCATGCTATTTAAAATGTTACAAAACGTGTATCATGCTATTTGGCAGTCTATTGTCCTAGAGCAGTATAGTGGTCTTATTAGATAAGTTTATCTCTCAATGTTCTCTGATCATGAAAGTTGATATATTTTCTGTTTTTTTTTTTTTTTGGGTGGATGAAGAATCGTGATGGAGATTTTGAACCAGATGTACACAAACATGGGGATACTGCTTATGATCCTGAGGGCAGTGCTTTCTCTGAGCTTGAACAATTGTTGAAACAGAAAACTTTCACCAGGTGAACTGTTTTCTACTCTTCTGTACTTCTATGGGTTTATGCTTTGGAATGCGAGTTTCATGCAAATAGTTCCCAACCGTACTAATTAAGCTACATTCCTAAGCATGAGTATTTTAGCTATGTGTGTCATCCACATTTTATGTTGCAGTAGACTCATGAACAAGGTTATCAAGGTGACGCCTAATGAGCTTGCCTCGCCTAAAATGGGCGAGGCGAGCTCAGGCGGCTAGGCGTCCAGGCTACGTTTGGGATGCCTAACCCGGCTTTGACTTGGGTTTCCAAAAAATAAAAATAAAAGTTAAGGGATTATAACCCGGCTTTGCCTTCGCATCCACCGTCACATCTTAATGTTTTTAGATTTTCTCTTTCTGAAGAGATATCGTTCCTTGTTTCAATTCTACCCCTCCATCTATCAATATTCTTTATGGGGTTTGCCTCATAATTGGCTTCTTAAGGTCTTTTAGGACATTATAGAAATTGTACTTCTGATTGTTTTATAAAAATATTGTTCTGATTATTTTCTGTGATTTTTGGCATGTTTCTATTTGATCTCAGCATATATGTGCGCACTAATAATAGGAAACACTACCTTTGCAGATTTGAAATTGATCAGCTGACAGAACTATTGCATTCAAAGGCTGTAGATTCTCCTCTTGAGGATGCTGGTAAAAGAATTGAAGTTTCTAGACTAGCTTCAGCAGATATTTCAAGAGGCATATCGGGAGATAATAAGACTGAGAAGGGAGCATCTCATGGAGTTACTTCAACTGCTATCGTCAGTTCAAAAGTGAGTTCTTGAGCAATTCGTTCTTTGTATAATTAGTGCACTCTTATGATTCATTGAGTTGTGTGGTTATGTGACTTTTATATGATAAATTTTATCAGATATGTGAGGATGATGTCGCAACTCCTGCTGAGCTTGCGAAGACTTATATGGGAAGCAGGCAGTCGAAGGTCTCACCATCAGTTCAGAGTTTTCGCAATCAAACTGTAAGAGAAGTTGTT